AAGTCGTGTCCGACTCTTCGTGACCCCATGAACTCTATCGCCCCAGGCCTTCCTGTCCTTTTCTGCCTCCCCCAATTTTCTCAGTTTCCTGCTCATTGCTTCAGTGATGCTATCTAACTATCATTTATAGTGCATGAAGCCAATTATGGAATATTAATCAATCCACGTTTAAACAAATCATGGCTAAACGCCATTTCTGAACTCAGCCACTCTATCTCATCCACTGAGCAAGCCAGCATGCAGGACTGACCAAATTCAGCTTTGGGGAACAGTGATTATATAATTGTGCCCAGTACCATTTCTGACTTTAAATCTGTCTTTTCTCATTTCTGATTAAGTAATAAAGAAAGCATATAAGGAAAATATTGGAATCAATGGGAGTCATGTTGAAGATTCCTGAACTTAAGAACTTGCCGTGTATATCACATCTGCCTGGTAATCATAGACAGCTGCTTGGTAATCTCATTGATCAAGGCATCTGTATAATGGGTTACTATCCAATATTATGGCTCTGACATAGAATCCCTTCGTCGCAAAAAGGTAGGCAGCTTTCATGTGGATAACATAATATTTTAATAAGATCTGAAAGGTAAACTAGATCAGAGAAGGGAGATCCATGCTTTGGTCTTCTTGGCCTCTTTTAAAAGCGGTGGCAGAGGTCCAATTTAAATCCAAGCCTTGCCATAAACGGAAAAGGGAAAAACCCTTTATCCTAGTATAGGAACCGCTCCATACCACTGCTCAAGGATGCTTTTAGCCACGAAGACAGGATAAGCCAGGAACTGTGTTGAATCTGATCCCCCCCCCCTGTCCCATGTCTATTAAGAATTTGTAGGGAGATAAAATCCAGATAAATACTACATGGAAAAAGATCATGCCTCCTCTCCCAGTGCCAAGGCCCTGACCTAAATCAGAGGCCCACAGACATACCTAAGCATAATTAAAAAGAAAAGCAGGTCAGGATCTCCCATGTTAGTTTAAATGAGGCCCAAAGACAAGGAAACTTTCAGAAGGTGAATGGAAATGATTTGTTCTGAAAAGATTAGAACCCTGGCATCTTGATTAGCAATATTTTAATTATGGCTCTGGTTTGTGTCTTGTATTCCCATTAACAATATCTGTCTCTCATCTTCACCATCTCTGTGCAGACACAGATTTGCCCAAGGATATCCAGCAAGCTTCCTGACCAAGCAAGATTTCAACCAAAGTTCCTTCTTGTCCAAGTCCATGCCTCCTCCATGAAGGTACCACAGTAACTCTCAGCAGTTTGGGATAGTGGTTATGGCACCAGGCTAGAAATCAGGAGACTATGAGTTCTAGTCCTGTCTGAGACACAAAGCCAGTTGGGTGACACTGGGCCGGTCACTCTCTCAGCCCTAGAAAGGAGGTAATGGCAAACCACTTGTGAAAAATCTTGCCAAGAAAATTGCAGAGACTAGTTCAGGCAGTCACCAAGAGTCAAAAACGGACTCAAAGGCACACACACACACACACACACACAGACACACACAAAACTCTCAGCAGGGGACAGGGCAGATCAAAGGAGGCATGCCTTCAAACTATGTGTATTTTACTTATTACACATACTTATTACATTACCACATAGCCTTTTTAGAAGAGTGAGATAAATCCATAGGAGGCAAATGACAAAGAGTGACATTTGATTAGGATGAAACAAGCAGAATCAAATGACTAAGTGGTAGGACAAACATCATACTCTGAGTCTTCACTGCTTCCAGGTTTCCTTGGGATATCTAGATGGCCACTGTTGGAGGAAGGGTGCTGGGCCAGATGGGCAATGGCAGTGAGTAAAGCAGGTCAGTCCTGTGGAGGAAGCAGCAGTGGAGACAGGAGGTATCTCAGCCCCTTCTGAGATGGTGCATGCAGCTGTCTGTGACCTGAGCATACACCTTTGCTTAGTCTGGAACAGAGGCCTAATTAGAAGGCAGGGGTGATAGCAAAGAGAGGTGAAGATATTACACCTTTCTCCCATCACAGAATCATATATGAAATTGTATTAAATGACCTGAACCAAAATAAGAGGTTCTTCTCGTCAGCTAGGTGACACAAGGAACTGTGCTGCAGTGTTCTGGTGTCATCGCCAAGAAAGAAGACAGAAGTAAAACCAGAATCAGCTGGCTCTCCTACCACTGGCCCTCTCTTCCTTTGCCCAATGAACAGCAGTCAACACTGGCCCCATGCCAGTAAATGGTTGTTGATCAGCTATAAGTCCACAGTCCTCTGTTTCACTGAGGTTGCTGGTCAGTTAGAAATCATACATTTGTGCATATGATGAAATGGATTGTGATCCACAATATGCGGCATAACAAATGATTGAATCATTAAAGTACCACAAGGTTCCTCATTATATTTAGTTAGCAACCACATGCTTGCATGGTGATGCCCAGTATTCCCTTTGCCCTTCACAGCCTTGTGTCAGCTTTCTGATAAGAACAGAATTCTGCAGTAGTGGAAGCTACTTCCTCCTACAAACACCTTCAGCTGTGGTTGGCAAGTGGTCCTTACGTTCTCTGAATTTGCCTGAAACCATGAAACTATCTGTCAGCCATAAGTGATAACCTGGGAAATCTTTAAGATCCTTATCTTACTTCATCTTTCTTGGGAATTCACACAAAAATTAGGAACTGTATTTTATACAGAAGTCCCACCAAAAACTTAAGGAAAATACCTTATCTCCTATGATCTTTACTTCTCTTAAAGATTCTGCCTTACACAGAGATATAGAATACTCCTAAGGTCTTCATAATTTGAGGTTTTAATCAACTGCTTATTAATTGTGCCTTCTTTTCAAAGCATGTCTTGACTTTCATTTAAAAGTGTAAAGGTTTCAGAAATGTTAAAGACGTAATTGAAAGGCAGAAGTCTCTCTCTCTCAGTCTCTTGTTTGATTCATATGTTATTATCAATTCTGCAACCGCCTGAGCTTCTAAATTATTTATTTGTACCTGAAATTAATGTGCATTGATGTATGTTGCATAGGTCAAAACAGGCAATTCCTGTCTCCAAGGAGCATACAATTTGCTAAGATTACACAACTACATTTTAGCGTAGCTTTCATTCCAAATTTTGTTAAGGAAAATATCAACTCACTGACTTGAATACTTGGATGGGAATGCTCTAGGGCTGTAGGCTAGATTAGAAAGTTGAAAAATCACCCCAGGAGAAGGTAATGGTGAACTATTTCTGTATTATCGCCAAGAAAACAACACAGACATGTCCACATGGACATGTCACCATGAGTTTTGCTTGGCTTGGACTTTATTTCAATCATAATATGCTGGGGTAAGTGTAAAGTGGTGGCTAGAGTCTGATCAGAATCAGGGAGGCCAACTGAAATTATGGTTCACTTAACCAATCTCATTGGTTTGTTGTGAGGATAAAACGGAGAGAGGGGTGTTATACATTTTGAGTTACTTGGATGAAAGGCAGAAAATAAATGTAATGGGATAAAGTGTTCATTGGAAGCAGGAAACTGCCGGAATCTGCATAAAGAGCAGTAGGC